TTCTATAAGCATCGTTTTCACTCTAAATATCAAATACAGCATTATGTTTACATTTGTAAGGGCTAGAGTACACTCTGTGATAAACTTTCCAAACGGGTCGTTTTACAATTAGTGACGTAAAATGAAAAACAAATCTTTTTTTTAAGCAAATAGAATAAAGGAGTTCGATGGCGCTGGTGGTTAGCGCGTTCGGCTGCGATCGTTGAAGTTAAGCAACTTTCGCTGTGGTCGGTGATTGAATGCTGATTAATAGAGATGGGCTGACTAGCCGCCGACTAGTCGAGAAAGACGACTATTCGGCATCGTTTATAGTTAGCGATTAGTTGGCGACTATTCGGCAAATCAAGCCGATTATAATCGGCACAAAACAATGAAATAAAACTCAAAAGTTATGCTTGTTTAGAATATTTAAACACAACACAGAATATTTACCTAGAGTATGTATTTTAAGTTACCTACAGTCTTGAAATATAAAAAAATAAGGTAACATAATAAGAATTAGGAACTCAAGAATCTGTTAGTAATTCAGATAATGTAACACAATGAATATCGCACAAAACAAAATAGCAATGGGAAGTAAAGAGTCTTAAAGAAGTCCATAGGTAATTTTTTTCCTTAGAGGCAAATTGTGATGTTGGAACGTGAATATTTCGGCTCGATTTTGACTCGTATCGTGCGTGAGCAAGCCGACTAGTGACGAAATATTCCAAATACCTTCCTAAGATAGGTATTAGAATGATCGGCATTGCGGAATAGTCGGCCGACTAGTCGGCATTTCGAAAACCGATTAGTCGGCTAGTCGGTTAGTCGGCAAATATTATAGTCGGCCCATCTCTAGTGACTAATAATCTTCTATCTCGAGTTGCTCCGTGCTTCGAAAGGCACGTTAGACCGTTGGTCCCTGCAGTCGTTAGCACTCGCCAATCTGCACTGGGCCCGCGTGGTGGGTCAGGGCCCAATCTCCCTATTTTATCCATAGGAAAGGTTTGTGCTCCAGTAGTGGGGACATTAATAGGTTGATGATAAGCAAATAACTGCTAGATGATTAAATCTAAAGAAAATTTTACTAGAAATAGTTCCATGCGGGTGGGACTCGAACCCGCAACCTTCGCTATCCGGGCGAATGCATTGACTATTATGCTACCGCGGCCCTGATGGCCGTGTCGAATTCTTTCTAGCCTTTTTTAAGAGCAAGGGAGCGCCAACTCTTCGGTGCGGGTTCGAGTCATGTCTGCTGCCTTGTCAGCGTGGAATTTTTTCTAGTAATATTTTCTTTAGATAAAAACTGCTCGACAGTTACATGCTTAAAAAATTAAAAATATGAGGTATGTTATGTCTGATTTCACATAATTATATTGCTTTGAAAATCAAATATTTAAATGCGTTCTGTTTTAACTGCGTTCATACTAAAAATGAACAAAAACCGAACGGGGAATTCGAGGAATTTCCTGTAAGTGGTTAGTAGTGTTGCCAGGTGTCCCGATTTTCAGGGGTCAGGTGACGCATCCCGATTTGTACCTGATCGGGACGCTAAATGTCCCGATTAATCAAAAAATTTAAATAAATATAATTTAGGTACCGTAAGTGATGGTTACTTTAGCTCGGGCGGGTAACTTTGTCCCAAATCAGAAAAAATATTGAACTTGCCGCCCCATCAGTATCTCTTGGGTGACCGTAATAGTTACAGTTGTAAATCACAGATAGCCATATAGGCGTGTAGTGTGGTGTTGTTTTACCGACATCGTTCCTGTATCAAGTTGTCATTGTAACGCGGCATTTTTGTAACTGAAATAGTTCTCAAGTTCATGCGCAAACTTTCTCAGAACTGTGGTTTTCGGTAAGTTTACTATTTTTTCTAAATTTAAAGTTATATTTTTTATTTAACTTGATTATTTTTGGGCAAAAACATCCATTTGTGTATTCAGTATGCTAATGATGATCTGTTATAAGGGTAACTTAACCCCAACATGGATTAAAATGAGTTTTTTTCACAGAGAAAACTCAATGAGCTAAAGTAACTCTTTAAGGCCAACTTTGGCCCAAAATTAAAAAAATATATATTAACCCTTAAATATTATTTTTTCCTATTTTCGTATGATAACTTTGTAACTTATACTTTAAACTTCACAATGGAAAGATATAAACGTGACATATTCATCACAAAGAGAAGCTAAAATTTTATTTGAAAAAAAAGTGTACTTTTAGGTCAAAGTAACTCGCAGTTACTCGGTAATTAATATAATACTATACTTGCACTAGTAGTTTAAAACGCAATATATTAAACCCAGACTTAAAAACCCCTTGTTTTTTGTTTACTGTCCCGATCTGCAACCCTAAATCCCGATTTTTTTGACCTCATGTACCGATTTAAAACTAATCGGACCTGACAACACTAGTGGTTAGAGATTGCTGAAAGCTTGGTTGGTAATTTTAAATCAAAAAAGGGTGGTACGTTTTAAAAATCAATAGAAAACTTTATTATAAACTCATAAAAATGCATTAATCTTTAACGGAAACATCCTTAATAATATTGAATTATGTACTCGTAAAAAAAGATATGCTCCAGAAAAAACACGTTTTTTTCAACGTTTTTTTTCCACAATAAAAAATATCTGTTTTTTGCATATATATCTTTTTACAACTCCATGGAATAAAAGTGTAAGTTTTTGACGTGATGACGACTTATAAATCGATGAACATTGGCTGCATGCACGAAAGGGCGACGTCATGTCACGTTGTCACGAGTTAGTTCAACGTTCTGCGGTGTGTGAGGTGAGGTCGAGGGCTTCCTTCGACCCCCCTGAACCCCTGACCGTTCCCTAAGCCACCAGGAGAACCTCATTATCATCATCATCAGTCTATTAATATCCCCAATGCTGAGGCACAGGCCTTCCCCATGGATGGGATAGGGAGTCTGGACCATGACACACCACGGCTTAACGTGCCTTCCAATGCACGGTGGAACTCTAGATAGAAGATTTTTGGTCACCAATCCAATGGCCGACCACTGCGAAAGATGCTTAACCTGCGCCATCGAGTTCCTCGTGCATATAGTGTCCATCAAAAAAAAACAAGCGAGCCCTACAGTAGTCGCGTATGATGTGTAACATTTGAAGCCTCACCTTATATTTGAACCTTATGTTGACCATTTGAACATTATGTTCTAAATTCAAATCAAATAGCGCGCGCTTTCGCGACTTCCCGTTACACACTTCCGTCCCATTTCACGAAATCACTCCTACAAATTTCAGGAAAGCGAGAGGAAAGACGTTACACATCAATAAGTAAAGTTTCGCGGACCTGGGATCTTGAACTAATAGGACGAGGCATCGTGATTAATTGCAATTAATGTCTCTGAGTGTAGCCGTTCACGTTTTCCACTTGTTGGACCGACCCTGAATGGGGTCGTCTCATTAAGATCTACTGACCTATTCCAATTAGGAGGCAACGACATTACAATTCGTCTAAAAATAAAAATAAAACTGTGCTTAAAATATACGTACAATTCGGAACACTTATCATAAATTATTGACGCCAATTTTGGCGGTTGCGTACGGGAGCGATGAAACAGAAAATGAGAATAAATATAAGCCAAATAAAAAATCCCAGCTTGCTCCTAGACAGCTGCGTGTCCTTACGTATTTCACATAGTGTATGGATAAACAATGTACTAAAACAAAAAACGAGTGTGCTTATGACCACACGACTGGAGTGAAACTGTGTATGTATATATATATATATGTATGTATGTATATATACGAGTATGTGTGTGTTTATAAAATATACATGTTTGTACATATACATATTTCATTTATAAGCTATAAGAGAAAGAGAGAAAGAAAATGAGCGCGCGCACTGCTTTCTCTTGCTTATATCTCCAACTCAACTCCCATTCGCCTCGCCCGAACACAGTTTTCGTAACGCGTAACGCATTCGCCAGCTTACCCCCTAAGTCAAGCGTGCGTTTTTGCAACAGACTGGTGCGCGTCGGGGTCGCCCACAGAAGGTTCCGTATAAATTTGTTGATACGCAACATAATCGGCCGTATCCTTTTTAAGGTTCCTCAGAACTGACAAGGAACCCTTATAGTTTCGTCATGTCCGTCACTCTGTCCGTTCCCGGTTTTGCCTGGAGACTGTTAGCACTAGATAGCTGTAATTTTGTGGAGATAAGTAAATCAATCATGCCGACAAAATGGTGGAGAACCTGGAAAGTTCAAAATAACGCGCCACAGAACGGAGCATGCAGTAAAAAAATTACCGCACATTTCTTATAGGTGACCCTAATTTATTTATTTTTATTTAATTTTTAAATAAGGACATGATGATCCAAAATATATTAGTAGATACTTATATTATGTTAGTACTTAATTTCTAAAAGTGACTTTGTCCTCTGGATGAATATCCACACAAGAGGACTATCTTTGCCAGCAATAATGCTCAAGATACTGCTGCCAGTCTCGGGTATTCTGCCCAACATAATGATGTTATATATTCTTAACAAACAAAAGTATTCTGTAGAAATTTTAACAATATATTCATCCATTTAGTTTGAAATTCAGTCATATTTTGTTATTGTTTTCTGTGAAACATCAATATAGAATAGGTTACTTAAAAAATTAAACTCTAACCACTTTCGTATAACAGAAAGATAAATTACGCAAACTAGTTATTCTAATTTGAGTAATTTAAAAACATTCTAATTAGCAAAAAATCTCAACAAAAGGCAAACTACATTGTTCTACAACAGGCTACGTAGATAGCTACGAAATGTAACGACACTGTTCATTTTGCACTGTGACGTAGGCTTGCCGTGAAAAACTGTTTCCCTATATTTATTTCAGTGCGACTTTTAGAAGCAGTGCGATAACATGCGCTTTACTGAAAGAGTGAAGCTAAGTCAACTCGATTAGTTAACTAGTATAAAACCAAAATTTGGAAAATATAACAAACAAAAAGATTAATTTTAATTTAATAAATTACAATTTATTCTTTAATATTTTTTAATGTAATCAATTCGAAATGACTTCCTCCAAGTCTTTGTTAATAGTTTGTGTGGTTTTCAATGCTCTTGCGTCTCCTGTATACTGCTATGATCTGTATAACTCCAGTAAGTGGCTACCAGGGGAGCATGGGTACCAAGGAGTCCACAATGGCAAGGAGGACGCCAAGGACTTCATCAACGAGTGGACAGTATCTTTGGAGGGCGACGAGGAAATCGCTCAGCTGGTTGCCTTGGAGCTTGGATACGCGTATGGCGGGCCTGTGAGTATCAATGCATATTGCAGACACTTAGGCCAACTACACTACAGTTCTCAATTCAAATTTAAAATCTAACCTCATTTTTTAAATTCTGTTTTTGTTTCACGGGAAAGTCAAAGACAGACCTATGCAGCCATCTACTTGTTTTTTTTATTGGTGGATTTAATGAATTTTATGGTGGATTTAAAAGTATTGAAGCCTCATATTCGCTCTATTTGCTTATTACAAAATTAGAGGAATATATGGTAGACAAATATTCGTGGAATTAGTTTAATTCTGCGCTAACAATGCACTGTTTAAAATGTTACTTAATATATTCATATGTACTGTTAAGTATTTTTCATTTTAAAATTATATTTTAGTTTGAAATTTGTGTGGGTGATGTCAATCAGGGCCTGTAAAGGATTATGTTGAATAAATTTCTGATTCTCATTCTATAAACTAAACGCAGAATTTTTCTATTGTTTATTAAAGTATATTTTTTTGTTATCTATTACGTTTGGAATAAATACTTCTCTCGCTTTTTGTATACAAGCAGGTGACTTGCAAGGTTATTATAAAAGTTAAAGTATATTTTCACGCTATCATTTACGATACGATTATGTATTATTTTTATCTATTAAATAAGTATCTATAGATTCATCAATTTTAAATCCTGTCAATTTACGCTGGATTACGTAAAAAATACTTTTATTATAATTTACTTTGTTATTTCTGGTTATGTCTCATTAAACTAAAAATATACGTAATCATTCATTCAAATGTAGAATGATATAAAATGTATTTACTGTTTTTTATCACAAACAAAATGATTATGACAAGAGTTCTTGACAAATTAAAGCCGCAAAAAACTGACAGACGCCTAATATAAAGATGTCTAACAAGTCTGAGGCTATTGAATGAAGTTACAAACCTCACTTTGAGGAAAAAATATTATTTTCAGTGAATATTTTAGCTTGGAAAACATAATTTGCATATTTCAAGAGTTGCGGTATGTTTTCTCATTTGCATTTGAGAATCAACAAGTCTTTGAACCGCTGCATAGAATTTAGTATTTTATGATAAAATAGAAATAAAGAAAATAAGAAGATAGAAAAAAACAAACAAAAATATACAATAGAAAAGAAAGAAAGAAAAAATGGACTAACCTGGGATTTTACAATCAGCTCTTACCATTTAGATGCCGTTTCCTGTTCCAATTTTTTAAGTGAAATTTCTTTCAATTAAATTTAATTTGAAATTACATTTTTAAGTTTAATTTACCATAACAATGAAAAAAAGTAGATAAAATAATGTCTAATGCTTTAATCATGTTTAAATGATTTTTAGCCTATTCGCCTTTAAAAGCCAATTACAACAAAAATAGGCTGATTAAATACATTTTTTTGAAGTTATACTTCTTTAGGCGCGTTATGAAAAAATGATGAGAGTGAAATTTTTAGATGCGCGCGCATCACTGTAACCCAGAAGTAACAGCATGAAGTTGGCCGCGGGCGCGTTATGAAAAAATCATGTGAGTGAAATTTCGAGATGCGCGCGCATCACTGTAACACAATAGTAACACCATGAAGTTGGCCGCGGGCGCGTTATTAATGTTAGTGTCTAATAATGGTGGATTATTAACCACTTAGTGGTTAATAATCCACCATTATTAGACATCTGTTGGAAAGGTACTTTGAACGATCCACGGAGCTCCATAAGATGATCGCGTTGTCAAAAACAATGTTGGCACGCTCGTCGCCTCTGATCACTGTTTTCATATTTATAATATTTATCCACATGTTTCTAGTTTCTATATAGACACAACGTGTTTTAGTTACTTACAAGTGCTAATTACATATGGACTAATAACTTAAATTCAGTAGTGATTTTAATTGAATATTGTGAATATTTATTTAATTTTTCATATTAAAACTGAACTTAATTGACTGTGTTAACTATCCTTTTCTAGTCCTTTTATTATTTTGTTGTAATTATTAATTATTTGCATGCAATTAAAAAATATTTTTATTGATGCTAAAGAAGTATAACTTCTCACGCGCGTACATAAGTTACACGCATCCATTTTTGAAGTTATACTTCTTTAGCCGCGTTATGAAAAAATTATAAGAGTGAAATTTTAAGATGCGCGCGCATCACTGTAACACAAAAGTAACATAATGAAGTTAGCCGCGGAAAGTAACACCATGAAGTCGGCCGCTAAACCGCACATTACTCGCAAGTCTCGAAAAAAAGCTTCCAACAAAATAGTAATAGGATCTCTTAGTCGCACATGTTGGGACACTCTGATCACTGTTTTCATATTTATAATATTTATCCACATGTTTCTAGTTTCTATATTCTTAACACGTGTTATAATGTTATACAAATGCGCAATTTATATGTGCTAATAAATTTTATTCAGTAGTGATTTAAATTGAATATTTTGATTATTCATTAAATTTTTCAAATTAAATCTGAACTTTATTGACTGCGTTGACTATCCTTTTCCAATCCTTTTATTATCTTATTGTAATTAATTATCTGCATGCAATTAAAAACTATTTTTTAATAATTCCAAAAAGAAGTATAACTTCTCACGCGTGTACTTAAGTACACGCACCCATATTTTTTGACGTGACAACGTCTTAAATTAGGTTGCGGCTGGGAGTCACTTATGAAAAAGTGTAACGCTCGGTAACGTTACGATGAGTCTCTCGTGTTAAGTTTAAGTTTACATGTACAATGTTTTAGTAAACAAAATATATTTCTATAGTTAAAATTTGTGCAATTCTTATTTTCATTCAATTCCTTGTTCCTATTGTGCAATTTAATTATATTCATATCAATAAATATTCTACCGAGAAAAAGACGTTGTCACGTAAAATCTTCGCCCGTAAAACCGACTTTACAGGCAACCATTTTTTTTATGCTTCTTCTTCTTCAAACATGCGGAGTTTTTAATTTTAGCGAGAACCTATGGAAACTCCTTTTTGTACTTCTAAATTAAAGTTGAATGTTTGAGTAAATTCTTCTAAAAACTAAAGTTCCAACTTTCAAGCCTTTTTTGAGTAACTTTAAGTAATTGCAGGAAGCTGAGTCATTTTTTTATTAAAACAACATTCAAGACAATAGGCTAGTTGCCTAAATTTTAAAAAGTGGTTAATCATATACGTTGATGTTTGTTTACCCCAAAACATATTATTTTAAATAAAATAATACATTAACAATATGTATTTTGAATTTTAACAAAAACATTTAATTTTCCCTCTAAAACGCTCATGACTGTCATGGCGTCTTGAATGACGTCACGCCGTGCAAAAAAAACAGTATGCTGTACGTTGACTAATAGAATTATTTCATTAAAAATGAATAAATCGTATTTCAAGTACTGTATAGTGCCCCAGTGTAAAAGTACAAGCATAAAACGCCAGACAAATTATTTATATACCTTTTAAACAACTTACAAAAGCAGTAAAAATGGCTAGAACTTGCAAGGAGGGATGGTATTCATTGTTTATCAACAAATAAAATAATGTATTTTTGTGAAGATCTTTTTGATGTAAGTATTTAGCATAGCATAATCTAGGTAATCTAAATGTTACACAAGCTGGATAAATTATATTGCATTAAATTGATAAAACAATGACAATAGGTTGAGGTTAGGTAAGTAAATTTAGTTTTATGGCATGATTTAAAGTCAATTTGAGAGTTAAGTAGATTTATTCGTATTACTCGTAATAAACACATTTCATATTCGTGTTCTAGTTGCCTAATAATATGCTAATTATACCAAGTATCATATTAAGGTTTGTTTTTTATTTTGGATAAACCAGGATAAACTATTATTATTTGCTTTGATAATTCCCGATGGCTATACATATTAGGCTTTCTTACAATAATTATCTAAGAACAAACTGATAAAGTGTATCAAAGTAACAATCACATGAATGACAAATCAATAAAATCTATGAAAACTAACCACAAGTAATGTTTTGCACTGAGTGACGTCAGTCTTTCTGATTGGTGTTTACTATCACGTGACCTTATGCCTATTATTACCGAATTTATTCCATAAAAATAATAATAATCTTTTAAATAGCTTTATTTTTCGTTATCTGTATATCGTAATTCATATTTAGAAACTGTTAGCCATCCGATTTATTGTTAGTGGACACAAGCCTATTATGTCACAAAAAAAGACTGCAAAATACCTACTACGAAAAAAGATAAGAATTTTTGAAACCTCGCTGGCAGAAATCATTAAAAATACACAAAAAAATTATAACTCGAAGACTAAGAAAAATCGCGGAACATACATGGGGTATTTTCGGATAGCCCCAGGTGCAAGGAATCTAAAAAAAACATTGTTGACATCACTAGTTGAACCATCCTGTATAATATAATACAGATGGAGTTAAAGAACAGGACATAAACACACTCGTTTTTTCTAGTTTTTGTTTTTAGATTTAAACACCTAGAGCAATTAAGTGCTTAAACAGGCTAATTGGTGTGAGGGTTAATATATATATATATATATATATATATATATATTTTATTAAATAAAACTAGTGTTTACGGGTTAATGTACTAAATTTATTTATTTATTGACGTTTCACAGCCTTTTCACGTCTGCATAGTCAGAATAATGATTTATTTTTTTATTTACTTTGTCGAGCTACCTTCGAAAGACTTTTATTGAGCGTTCGGATATTTCATTGGACGGTTTTTAAAACTTTATTGTCTATGTATGATTTAATAGCTAATTTAGTTAATAAAATACTTTATCTAAAATTCTTTTTTGTAATTCCTCCTCTCTGTGAAGAAACGGTGAAACAAACTCAGAGAGACTTTCTATCTCCTTCTTATGTTAAATCATGCAAACAAAAAGTACTGATAGTATCTGTTGGTCTTGCAGTCTCAGATTTTTTCTGTTGTATAATGAGTTCTCAAGCTGGTGGCACATACCAACCATCTTCCGCTATTACAATTTGGATATTTTTAAATCTCAATAGCTTCGCGTC